AAACACCTTTACATTGTCGCTGTTAAACGCTCTTATCGTTCCATTTTCATAACCCAGCACAAACATTTCATCAACAACACAGAACGACGAGATTGTTTCTTTTTTATCGGATCCTATGCGTATCACTACCTCCTTGCTCTGCACATCCCATACTTCCAAATAATTGTTGCGTGATATCACCATATGACCGTTGTAATGTGATAGTATGCTTCTTTCATTTGCTAGCTCACCATTCTGTGATCTATAGATGAAGTTAGGAACAAAGTCCTCATCCATGGGGGTCGTAAAAATAGCAAGTCATAACCGGAGCGAGCATATGATTTGAACCGAGAAATAGTTAAAGTCATGCGATAGGTCAATGCTATCCTGCTGTTCCGTAAAATAAGATGTGCAGTATCATCATGGTGTGTTTGATTGAATACTGATCAAACGTGCCAATTTAAGTAATTTACCACAAATGCGTTGTACTTAATATGTCACGGTCAGTTCATCATCCTTTGGTGTTCTAAGCCATCTTAGTACGGGTTTTATGACAATGTCGGATATATCCTCGTTAAAAGTAGGTTTTACTAACGCTACCAAAATGTATTGAACAGACCATCGAAACACAGTTGAAAAAACGGGTAGCAATAAATTTATTTATTATGTAAATAGAGTTTATTAGTCCCTGACAAGTTCATTAATCACGTTTTATGTTCGGAGGAACTAAACATGGCGCATATGAATTGTAACGGAATGAACACATCTTAACGATACAAAAAGGTATCGATTGATAATATTTGATGACCAACATTTCTGATGATACCATAGTACATAGCCACTCGAATAATTACTAATTGTGGATGCAGAGAAATACCTATCTGTAACAATGCTGCTTTCGTTGCCATTCACGATGCATCTGTTATTGTTTTTGTTGCGATCAAATCATTTCTTATTGACACTGGGGTGAACATAAACTTCGGATGTTAAGATTCGCAAAACAGTTAGAATGAAGTGCACGACATTTCAAAGCACATTGTGGCACAGATGAAGGGACAATGCTCCTTCCTAATTCATTACTTGTTATCTCATAGTAAAGAAGAAATACCTGTGCCTCAAACGCCCCATGGTGTATCACATTTCTTTTTTTACCATCAATGCAAAGCATCTCTACCAGCTGTTTGTCTTTTGCCGTCTATTGCTGCATGAACGCCTACTAAATACGCTCTGCTGGCTGCAATAATGAAAAGGCCTACCCGTTCAGCTATTCGATTTCATTATAGTAACGCAATCGGTTCAATGTTCAGATCATTGTAACACAATCACTTAGATACCAGCACTTG